GTGCAAACCAAGTAGGGCTTGGACAGTGACGTCACCTGTGACCATGAGTCACAGACACATGTTGAAGGCAGGACAAAAGGAAAAAAAAACACCCTGGAAAGAAGATCAAGCATGAGACACCTGGTTTTAAAAACCCCACATGCCAGCACTGGGGTTTGCAAACGACACCAGCCACCTGGAACTAACCCGTCTATACCTCCATTCTCCTAAAGCAGGGTTCTCTGCGTGTCAGGAGGCACCCAGGGAATTTTGACAGCTGTTTTGAGAACCAGAACAGTAACTTTCCCGTTCTTGCTTTTTTCAAACACAGGCCTTCAAGGGGTCTGAGGTTTTTAAAGGTTGGGAGTGGCAAAGACTTATTGTTCCTCTCTAAGAGCTGCCTCTGTGTGCTCTCTGCTGGAGTGCCTTGCCTACACGGCGTGTTCCACGATGGTTATTATGTAACGGTGTCGTTATCTCTTTATCTTCTGCCACCCAGGCTAGACCCGAGCAGCTCCAGGAGGAAGCGGCCACGTCTGCCGTCTCCTGCAGGGCCTGGCCCCGAGCGCGGGCTCCACAAGCGCCTGCTACGGGGACAGACCTGGGGTCTCTACACGTGTCTACAGGGCCCCGTGAACTTGTTTCCTACCACACAGACACTTATCTGGTCCCGGACGTCCGAGCACCCGCAGGGCTGCTCCGAAAAGGAGCACACGGAGAGCCAGCTCGGCGCAGCCTTTGTCTGCTGCGGGGCCGGTTCCCGACACACGCGTTCCCGAGGAATACACGGTGCCAGCGGAGGCGCCCGTGCGCAGCAGAGCGCCACGGAGGGCGGTCAGCGTCCGCCCTTACTTGTTCGTGCCCATCCGGGGACAAGCACCCCCCCCGGGGGGGGGGGGCGGGGCGGAAGAGCAAACCCGGGTTGCAGAAGGGGCTAGGCGGCGGCTGCGGGGTCTTGCGGCCGGAGACTGAGGCGAAGAGACTGCGGCCGGCGGCTGGCGGGTGAGGCTGAAGACTGGAGGCAACGGGCTGAAGGGTGGCGGGGGAGACTGGCGGGCGGAGGCTGGCCGGGTCGAGCCGGCGGCTGGAGAGCGGCGAGCTGCGTGGCTGGAGACTGGCGGGTGGCGGAGCCCGCGGCCGAGGACGGCCCGGGCGCGAGCTAACGGCGGGACATGGGGCTGGCGGGCGGAGGACTGCGGCCGGAGACGCGGACAGGAGAGTTTGCAGGCGAGGCTTGGCGGGTCGGGGAGCGGGGGCGAGGCGCGGGCAGGCCGAGGCGGAACGAGCGGGTCCGGGGCGGCGGGACCCACCTCTTGATGCAGAGGCGCGAGGGCAGGTAGGCGCGGTAGCCGTCCGTGATGTACGGGTTGTCCTTGAGCGACACGGGGATCTGCTCGTAGGTGTAGAGGCGGATGCCGCGCGGCAGCAGCACCGGCCAGTACTGGTAGCTGCCCAGCTCGATGTAGTGCGCGCTCCGCAGCAGCTTCTGGTGCATCGTCCCGGCCGCCGCCGCCGCCGCCCGCCCGGGAGCCAGCCCGGCCCCGCTCCCCGGGGAGGGGGCCTCGCCGCTCAGCCCCCGCCCCGGAGCCCGCCGCCGCCGCCGCCGCTCAGGCCGCTCTCAGCGCACAGCCCCGTGGCCCCGGCGGCGTCGCAGCCCTCTCTGACGTCACACGCCGCGCCGGGCCCGCCCCTCCGCCCAGCCGCAGAAGGGGCCTCGGCAACCCTCTCTGACGTCACACGCCGAGCCAGCCCCGTCCCTCCGCCCAGCGGCTGAGGGGGCCGTCGCAGATCACTGACGTCACAAGCAGCGCCAGACTCTCCGCTCCGCCAAGCATGGGGGTCGCCGCAGCCCTCTGACGTCACATGCCGCGCTGGTCCCGCCCAGCCGCAGAGGGGGCCGCCACAGCCCTCTCTAACGTCACACACCGCGCCGGCCCCGCCCCTCCGCTCAGCCGCCAAGGGGGCCGTCGCAGCCCTCTCTGACGTCACCGCAGCGCCGGACCCGCCCCTTTGCCCAGCTGCCAAGGGGGCCGCCCCAGCACTCTGACGTCCACGCCGCGCCAGACCCGCCGCTCCACCTAGCCGCTGGAGGAGTCGGGGCAGCCATCTGTGACGTCACACGCAGCGCCGGCCCCGCCCCTCGGCCCAGAGGTCCGTCGCAGATCTCTTTGACGTCACACGCCGCGCCGGTCCCGCCCCTCTCCCCAGCCACCAAGGGGGCCGCCTCAGCACCCTCTGACGTCACAGGCGGCGCCGGCCCCACTCCTCCAACCACCCGCTGAGGGAGTCGCTGCCGCCCTCTCTGACGTCACACGCGGCGCCGGCCCCGCCCCTCTCCCCAGCCACCAAGGGGGCCGCTTCAGCACCCTCTGACGTCACACGCCGCGCCGGGCCCGCCCCTCCGTCCAGCCGCTGAGGGAGCCGCGCAGTCATCTCTGAGTCACACTCCGCGCCGGGCCCGCCCCAGCATTCCCTGACGTCACACGCCGCGCCGGGTCCGCCCGTCCGCCTAGCTGCAGAGGGCGCCGCGGCAACCTTCTCTGACGTCACACGCCGCGGCGGCCCCGCCCAGAGGCCAAGGGGGCCACCACAGCCCTCTGTGACGTCACACACCGCGCCGGCCCCACCCCTCTGCCCAGCCGCCCAGGGGGCCGTCGCTGCTCTCTGACGTCACGCGCCGCGGCGCCCCCGCCCCTCCGCCCAGACCCCAAGGGGGTCGCCACAGCTCTCTCTGACGTCACACGCCGCGCCGGCCCCGCCCCTCGGCGTCTGGGCGGCCGGCGCCGGGCTGCGCAAGACACGTTCGCCCCGGCGCGCCCCCTGGTGGTGAAAAGAGCCCAACGCACAGAACTGCGCGGGCCAGGTCAAGAGGTTGCTCCTTTTCCTGTTTTTAATTGCAAGCATTAAAATATCGCTTCCTTCCTCTGTGTTCTGCAAAAATAAAAAAATTTTAAAAAGAATGAATATAATTTTTTTTAAAAAAAGAATTCAATATTGCAATAATTTTAATTATTGCAGCAATAGTTGCTGCATTTGGAAAAATCAAGAGGAAAGGAGTTGACGGGAAGAAAAATGAGAGCTTACTCTTTAGCTTATGCTAGGAACGCCCCACACTTGGTGTCAGAAGGGTTGAGGTTTTCTGAGCTAAAGTCGGTTCTTGAGGCCGGGCGCGGCGGCTCAGGCCTGTCATCCCAGCACTCTGGGAGGCCGAGGTGGGAGGATTGCTCGAGGTCAGGAGTTCGAGACCAGCCTGAGCAAGAGCGAGAACCCCCGTCTCTACTAAAAATAGAAAGAAATTAATTGGCCAACTAATATATATATATAGAAAAAATTAGCCGGGCGTGGTGGCGCATGCCTGTGGTCCCAGCTACTCGGGAGGAGGCTGAGGCAGGAGGATCGCTTGAGCCCAGGAGTCTGAGGTTGCTGTGAGCGAGGCTCGTGGAATTGAGCGAGGTGCTCCCAGGTTGAAAGTCTCACAGATTGTACCTTGTAGGAGTTCTCATCAGGGTGCAGTGCACCCATACCCATAATTACTCCAAAACATGCAGACTGTTCTGGGTTAGGGGCGTAGTATATATGTGTTTTCGGTATTGCAAAACCACAATTCGATCTTTTGTCCCAACAACTTAGATCAGCCGTTGTTTATTGGAATCTTAAGTCCCATGACAGGCGAGTGTGGCGAACAATAGACCTTATTCTTGACCTTGTCCTCGCTAAAGAGTATTGTACCCCACAGAGGCTGAAATGCCTAAGGATGTAAGGAAGTGGGAGGCTCATACCCACACACTGTCATGAGCCTCCCCATGTTCCGTTTCAATACTACCGTCCCATGTTCGCCTACGCTTTGTGTCTCTGCTTTCCACAGAGTTTGGACAATTCATAGACGGAAGAGAAACACCTAGGAAGATTCACATCCGGGCCCATCCATTATTGGTCGAATTTATTTAACCATTTTCATAACACCTACGCTGGGGCACTGTTGCAAGGAGCTTGCTCACATAGGACGCTATTTTCTCATAAACGTCTGGCTCAACTTTATTCATGTTAGTAGAAGTCCCAAAAAACTGACATTCGCATTGGAGCATTGTATCCTTAGACCCCAGTTCAAGCACTCACCCCTAAGCAGACGTTATCCAGAGCCTTCAGATCGATTATCAATACCTTAATATTGGTGCCACGTCATATATCCAGGGAGCTCAAAATTAATAGAAGAACGCCAAGGGACACTAAAAGAAGTGCAACCAGCTAGTTCCCTACATAATGAGTATAGAAGTTACATGAAAGTAAGCACCCAGGAATTTCAGTGGCTAAAACAGAAACTCTAACCGCAGGAAGTAATCAAATTAAGACAGAAGTAACGGTATGTATAGCAAGCAACAACTCAGGTTCACCAGATGCCTAAACAGCAGAACAGCCATTTCTCTAGCAGTCATGGACATTGGACTAATCTACGAAATTAAAATAATAAGTTAGAGACAAATAATATTTGCAACGAATTCTATTTCTGATGATGCAAGGTTATATAGCATATATAAAAACAATAATCTTAATATAATGTATTAACAATTATATTATTCATCTAAAAGGAATGAAGCACCCACAAAAAGTTCAAAACCACTAGAACTACAAGAGAAGCTCAGATTGAAAAATGTGCAAGTGCACAAAGGCACTCAACAACAACAAAGATTTCAGCTCACAATTAACCAGGCAGGTACAATGTATAAGTTGTAATTAATGTTCACCAGAGAATTTACCAATTTCTAAACATAAAAATAAACACAATATTTTCCTTTAATAAAAACAATCAGGGAACTCCCGCACGGTGGGCTTTTTCACGCCTGTCATTCACAGCAACACTTGGCAAGAGGAAATTTGTACAGAACGGGAGAGATCGCGTTCTTCCTGACGGAGGTCACAAGATTACATCGATGACAGCCTAGTAAAGCCTGACTAAATGGAGCCCGAGGACACAAATCCCAAGCAGTCTGTCTCTAAGACTACATATATAATCAAGCATAAGTAAGGAATCCTAGCCTGGCCAGAGTAGATCTAAAAAAAATTATAATTATTGTAATATTCCAGAGGTATAAAACAAACAAAACGCGAAAGAAAATTAAGGTCGCAGAGTGGACATTTAGGTTTTTGGCACACTGCTTATAAACAAATTATTTATCCTCGAGCTACTTGCGCGTGAGGGGTGAGCATTGGACAATCGCCTGATCTTCTGAGGTTGCCTTAGTGAGCGGATGGCTTCTGACAGCCACCACTGTGCAATGGAATATAATTTGGTGTTATCGAAATTTATGTCTATCGGCTACGACCCTGAGCAGGACAATAAGCAAAAACAAGACATATGATCTCATAAAAATATAAATACCAACATAAGATAGATAAAAAGACATAGATAATAATATGATAAATTGGGACCAGACTAATACACCTATTTTAATGTTGGATTAGGACGGTTATATTTGAGAAGATAATAACATGAGCCCGGGTAGGTAAGATGGGCGCAATGGACACTAAGTAGATAGAACAGCATTTTCAGCAGCCCTAACTCGGGAGGAGGAAGAAGTGCTGTAGGCCAGGAGTCATTCGCGGAAATTGAGCCTCAAAGGAAGTCCCGGAGGTTGCTTCGATTGAGCTAGATGGCTGAGATCCCCGGTATTCCATTGTAATGTTGAGGACAAAGAATGGCATCAAAAGCAACCGAGGAAAGTGAAGAGCTGCAAACCCAGAGATCAGAGAAGTGCAAAAGAGAAATGCCAAGAAATAGCTTTATTAAACCATAGTAGGGACATTTTAGAATTTTATTGCAAATAATAAGAGAATAGTATTTGAAAGCTGGATGAACTGGCTCGATCGCACCTCAGAACACACCAAAACCATATTTTACCCCAAATGCATGATGCTTTTTTTTAGTGAGTACAGCAGGCTGAGAATTTGGTATTCGAGGACGCCAAGGAGACGGGGAAGGGGAAAAGAGCCGCCAGAAGAGACGAACTGCTGGTCTCTCCTACCCGAGCATTTGGAAAGGTAGATCCCACCTTCCACATCTATCTTCTAACGCGTCCCTGTGGTACCTATATGCTATCTCAGATGGAGAGGCAGAACTAGTGCCCGGAGATACTAGATTCTTTTCGTCTCCGCTCAGGACAGACCAAATCAAATTGTAAAGTAATTCTAGAGTCTTCCTGTCTGGCAGTCATAACAACACCACTTTAGAATAGGCCGCTGACAGTGTAGTAGTTCACATCGCATCTGCGGGAGCAGGTTGACGCTCGCCCAGATTATATCAGCCTAGTCCCCGTGAAGTGCGGTCCCATAATGAGAAAGGAAGGGTTCGATTCCTTGAGAGACTACCCACTCATTATATACGTTAGACTCTATTGCTGACATGGGAATGAAAGCATGAGTCATTGAGACCATCAAGTGCAAGAATCCATAGTTGTGTAAGAGATAGAATAGTCTAGCGATTAGCACACACCTCGAGTAGGTCCACCACAGATATAGAAATTCCCGCTTAGATCACATACAGGAATTTAGTTAAGGCTGGCGCCCCTCCTCGCCTTTGTCTCCTCATCTAGTTTTTTAT